AAACTCTGAGCAAGCTTCAAGGAAGAAGCCAGGCTTTGGGTCCAATGCCCTTGAGGTGAGTCTGTGGAGAGTCCCTTCCTCTGGCTGGATTTGCCACTCCTGCACCTCCCCAGCTCCAGATAAGGCTTAACCACCCTGGGAAAGGACCCTCTCTGTCCAAGGGCTTGCTGTGGTGGCTTAGGGGAGGGGCCCTTTGGAAGGCTGGGGGGCTGCTATTCCTCTCCAAAGCCATTAGCACTGCACTTAATAAGTGACTGCTAACTGTCGGGAGAAGTCATCCATCACACTGATCTTTATTTTTTCTCAGTGTATCCTGTTCCTTCGCCACTGGCAATGTTCCACAGCCAACAGGTCCACTGGGTAATGGCAGCTACAGGGATGTCCGTGGCCAGAAACCACTCAGACTATGTGATGAGCTTCAGAGACTTACTGCTCATTTCCCGTTGGGCCCCAATCATCCCAGCACAGTGGGATTCAGGAGCCCAGGGCCTGGGGTCAGAGGGAGGGATGGGCTGAGGTACCCCTGAGTGACCCTTACGCTGAAGGACTCCCTTCCCCAAAAGGAAGTAAGAGTAGGATGTTATTTCAGCAACCCACACATGCACATTCCACTTTCTCAGGCAGGGCCTAGGTTGTAGGGATCATGCAGAGAACAGGGATACCCTGCGGCCACCCCCCAACCCCATGGCTCTCCATTCCCAGCTCCTGCCAGCAAAAGACCAAATCAGAAGGACAGCACCTTGCTTCCTCTCTCCCTGCCCCTCCCCACTCAGCCCCACCCCAGGATCAATACCTACTGCTGACTTCAAGATCTTATCTGAGTTTTGCAAGGATAAAGCGATAAACTCCCTGCACAGCACCCGCTATGCTTAAATCCTTTGATGATCCGCCCAGTATTTTTCAGACCACCTCTAACAACTTTTAGAGAGCAAATGAAATGACTGAGGTAGCCACCATTCCCTCTCTTCCCCTTGGGCACAAATTGTCTCAAGGGATGAAGTGATGGGCAGGGCCAAGGACGGTCCCAGCTTCTACCAGTAGCTCAGCAACTAGTGTGGCTCCAGGAGCCTGCTAAATGTCATCCCCAGACGGTATGTGTCTTAATTTCTCCATCTGGAGATGGATAGCCCCATGGTCCAGCAGGAAGGCCTGGGGTGCAGAGGAAATGCTCCAGCTCCTGATGTCACCAACTCCACTGCTTTTTCATAAGGGCCTCACATAGCGCCAGGCCTGCAGAGTGGCCAAGAGCCTGGGCAGCGGGTCAGACAGGCCGGTGAAGTCCCAGCTCTGCGTCCACCTGCCTGCGACTCTGGGTGACTTGGTTCACCTGTGGCCACTTGCCCTACAATTCAGCCCCGTGTGCAGGTATGCGCTGGCTCAGTACTTGTATGGTGAGTGCACGGAGAGCACTGGCTACGTCCACCAAGATGGCTGACTTGGCCTGCTTAGACAGCCACAGAAGCCACAATGGCAGAAACCATGGCGGGTGTGGTGACAGAAGGCCCGGATAGTCTTATAGAACAAGGGAAATCTTCCCCAGCTGCTGGGAGTTCGGCTAGGGGAAAGTCCCAGCTATAGGTCCCCTACAATAGTTCCCCAGCACAACGAAACCAGGTCACAGCAGCTTCACTGGTAGCTGCATCCAGTGACTGATCAGGCACATATAAAGGATTCTCTCACCTCAGGGGGGACAGGGGAAGGACCACCCCATTTTGGGACCACAGGGTGACTTCTCCCTCCCTCACTCCCAATCAAAAGCATGTTCTAATAAATCTCCTATACCCCATGTCCCCTCTCAAAGGCACCTTTCTGGGGAACCCCATTTGCAACAACTGCTCACACCACCCCACCTTATAAAATTTTTTAAAAAGTTTAAAAAAAATCCTCAGTGGCTCAAAAGCTAAAGTCCAGACAAGCACTTGGGGTCCTGGGGTGCCTCAATCCTAGCTCCTGTGTTTTCTCGAGGAAGAACCCCAGATGTTGGTTAGGAAGAGTGTCTCACCCGGCGAGGGGAGTGCCAGCCGTGCTCCTAGGGATGGGAAGACCCCACACTTGTACCGCTCCACAGTGTGAGGGCTGGGGATGCAGCTCAGTGGTACAGCATTAGCCTAGCATGCACAAGGCCCTGGGGTTCAATCCCCAGGAGAAGGAGGAGGGGGAGGAGGGGGAGGAGGGGGAGGAGGGGGAGGAGGAGGAGGAGTAGAAGTAGTCCCTTCTTGATGAGATGACAGCAGGCTAAACACTGAGCAGGTGGAGGTGAGGCTGCAGCATGGTGGCTACAGGACTATCTCATTCTCCTGTGCTCATCACCTGATTCCAAGTGCACACTCCCTCAGGCCTCAGGTGTGGGGCCTGTGCTCTATACACATGCCTTGTGCTTCTGCAGTGATGTGCTCTTTTCTTGCTGCTCCCCTTACTGCTCTGAAATTCAGGGCTACCCCGGCTTTAGCATCCAGGCCAAGAGAAGCTCCTCCTGGGCTGTTCTGAGGGGATGGAAAATGTATTCAAGGGCAAAATTTCCACCTGCACAGAAAGGACCCCGGGGAGAAGGGAGGCGGGTGCTAGGCCTTTCTTCTAGAAACTTCCCAGCACACCTTCCCCCTGCCTGCTCTTCCCTCACCCACCAGCACCACACAGGGGCTCACAGGCTGCATCCACTCAGGCCGGCTTTATGGTGTGCAGTTTTAAGCAACTGCACATGGCCTGCTCAGAAGGTTCTGCCCTGGTTTAATCTTCTGTGGTCACCTCGAAATTCTTAATCATTTTTTTTAAAAAGAGGCCCCACCTTTCCTCTTGGTCTGGGCCCCATAAATCATAGTGCTGGTCCTGCATCTACCACAGGGGGCTTAACTGCTCACACAGGTTCTGCCTCCTCACCAGGCTCTGCCCAATCTTCCCCCAATGCCCACTGGAGTCTGGACTCCAGAGGGTCAGTGAGGACATCCTGAAGCCACTCTGAGCCCTAGCACTGAGAGTTCTCCACCTCCTAACAGGCAATAGCTGCCCCACCAGTCATGGATGGACTGTCACCCCACGCTACACCCAGTGCCACCCTGTCTTTCTCCCCTCTGGAAACCAATTTCTCCCACTGACCTTCAAAAAACAAAGTCATGGGGCTGGGTGGGTAGCTCAGGGGTAGAACATGTGCTTAGCAGGCTTGAGGTCCTGGGGGAAACCAGCACAGGGGAGAGGGGGGCATAAAGAAGAAAGAAAGAACAAGAAGATCCCCGGGGRCCGCCCAGGAGCCTTCCAGGTCTGTGAACCCTAACGCTGAACACTGGGTGCCACGTTCAGCAAGGCAATGCTCGCCCTGAAAAGAAATGGATGAAAATGCTCTTCTTAACAACCCTGGCCCGTTGATTTGGACATCACAGAGGGAAAGCAGAATTTGGAATTAGCAGCCGTGGGTTTGAGCCTCTGCTAGACAGGGTACATCAGCCACCGACCCTCCCAGCCTTGATGACCTCAGTCCCCAAAATGGAGGTGACAACAATGATAATAACAAGAGCTAACATTCACGCTCATTCCAGTCTGTGTGTCTGGCATTGCACTCTCCCAAGAATCCTATGTCACAGATGAGTAAACTGAGGCACAAAAGTGAAGCGATTTTTTCCCTAAAGTTACAACTAGCCTCCTGCAGCTCTGCAAAAGCCCAAATGGATGATGCACATAGCACCGGAGCTTTGGAATCCATAATGGTGGACGGACACACTGCAGGTGACGTCCAAGGGTAATTACCAACTACCCATCACCACTCTCCTCTCTCTCTTAGCTCTCTCTCTAGAGCAATGCACCAAACAAAGACTCACCACCCTCCCCCTCCCCCGCTGTGGGTCCCTTCCCTCCACAAACACTTTCTGCAACTATGTCCTTCTGGCTGGGTACATGAGAAGCTGGGTTACCAGGCACGATGGGAACGTGCCCAGCCTTCTCCCACCCCCTGCCAGCAGCCACTCCCCCTTCACTCCTTCCCCCCCTTTTGCTCAGCTACCTTCTCCAAACAGGAAAGACATACAGGGTAGCTGCTTCTAATCACAGGTGACAGCAGGAATGTAAACAAAGCAAGAAACATCGGAATGCAATCCAAGTGGCAAGGAAACACGGCTCACCTACAGATCCCTCCCTTGAGAACACCCTGCACCCTTTCCTGCCTCCCCCTTCAGAAGCTCTGCTCATTAACACCCTCTTAATAGGAACCCCAGAAACCTGGGGCTTCCGGAGAACAGGAGAATGAGACACTAAATCCTAACCTCCTTTGACTACTCTCTCTGGGGAGGATTTTCTAGATTCCTCCAATGTTTCTGTTCAAAGCAATAATTTCAATGTGTTCTTCTGGGAGATGGTGGTTGGAGAAGCCGTGGGCAATCTGTCCAATGCTAAGGGTCCTTTCCCAAGAGAAGTGCATATCATTTCAAAGGTTCTTGAACTACAGGTTGAGACCCATTTTCTGTAATAGGGATGAGACAAGAGGAGCACAGGAAAGAACATACACAAGTACAGACTTCCTGTAAGCGTCCCGAGGTGCCGCAGAGTATTTTCCACATCTGTAATCGCTATTCATGGCAAACAAACCCAAGACAAGGCTTCTCAGTCTATCTCTAGATGGACAGTTTGCTTCTAAACCACCTCCTTTCAATGCAAGAGAACTCAATTGAGTAATTGCTATGAGTAATTTCCACTAAGATCACTTACTGCTGAGGTTAGCAAGGGATTTAAGAAAGCCAGGATCAAGAAAGGTGTATATAAACACAGGTGCTGGCCTAGCTCTGTGATTTAACCGCGGTTCCCATGCCAAGAGAGAAGGGGGCTTTGACTGTCCACTATCTGCTTTCTTTGTGCTTTGATAGCCCTCCATGAATGCAGATCCTCAAAGATGGTCACCTCTACCTGCTTCATTCTGAACTCTTCCCTGTATCGTTTGTCAGTGACTCTGGAGGTGAGAGGAGGCGAAGGCTAGAAGAAGGTGGAGGGAAACACTTTGTATGCTGGGGTCATCTTACCTCTGTGCCTGTTGGTGGTTTTATCAAACATCAGCATCGCATCCTCCACCTGCAAAACACAGAAAAGAGGCTGCTTTAGGAATTTTCAAAAAGTATACATTATATATATACTTATACTGGGTGTTGGTGGAAGAGGTGGTTTCCATTACAGAAATAATAGTTGCTCATTAAAGAATATTTGAACATACCAAGAAATAAAAAGAAAAAATACTGCTGATTTTAATACTGAGCACAGTTACAGCTAACATCTGGTGTATTACCTTTTAGTGTTTGCTTTAAAAAATATATATGGTTTAATATGGTCTAAATTATATTGTATGTGGAATTTCTTTCCTAGTTTTAGAGTGTGTGTGTGTGTGTGTGTGTGTGTGTGTATGTGTGTTTTCTTACCAGTAACATTAGAAAATCACAAATAATTCCCAGGTTGCTACATCATAAATACTATCTTGATTACTGTATAGCATTTCATGAAGCAAAAAGCCATGGCTTACTTAATTATTTCCCTTCTGACAGATATTTAAATTGTTTCCCATTATAAACAATGGAACTCAAACATCTGGATTGTTATCAGATAAACTATATCCTCCTCCAAATTCACATGTTTAAGTCCTAACCCTCAGTACTATATATAAGACTATATTTGGAGATTGGATCTTTAAAGAAATAATTAAGTTAAAATGAGGTCATTAGAGTGGGCCCTGAGCCAATATGACTGGTGTTCTCACAAGAAGGGATTAGGACACAGGCACAGAAGAAAGGCCTAGAAGAGACCAACACTGCCACACCTTGATGTTGGACTTTTCACTTCCAGATTTGTGAGAAAACAAATTTCTGTGTTTTGTTACAGCAGCTTTAGCAAACTCATACATTGGTGCTGGGACCTTTCAGAAAACATCAAGGAAAATACCAAAGTCATCCTCTGACTCCCTCCCCACACATTTTGTAACTGTTTGGGATATTTCTAGTAGGAAGATTTCAGGATCCACACTCAACTCCCATGAATATCTCAAGAGACTCCTCCTTAAAGAACCAGATCTGGCAATGAAATCCATTCTTTTTGTTTATGCCCAGCCCTTTGTTTCACAAGACACATCTGGAGCACAGTTCTCTAACCTAATCAACCAGCTACTCACTATGGGAGCACCTGGTCTGGCCAGGTGAGCACTTTTGTGCCCAAGGCTGCCGCAGCAGAAACATACCTCGACCTGAGGGATTGTGGGTGGACAGAACTATTGYCCAAGGGCTCTGTCCCTGGAGCTGTTTCGGCCAGGGATGTGGTTGAAAAGGACTGAGCACCCTTGATTTGTGCTCAAAGGCTCACAAATGAGCCTGGGAGCCTGAGCTAAGCATCTGGGAAAAGGAATCACAGGCTCTTCATTCCTCACTCCTGCCAGAGAGGACACTGGGCAAAGCAATAAAATGAGGCTTAAAAGTTTTCTATGTCATCAGATAAAAAAGAGGGAAGAGCAAAGTCCAGGTAAGAATGAGAGAGCAGGTAGGCAAGCCAGTCACCAACCCAGAAGGGACTGGCCAGGTTAAGAATCCCTCCTGGAGGCAGGGCCCCCTTCTGTCGCTAAGCAACCAGGCCTGAACAAATGGGCTCCTGGGGCCTTCCCCTCCTGGTCCCCACCCCTGAAGTCAGTTGCTGGGAGGAGAATGGCCTTGCCCTCCTGGTGACTCCTCTAGTGGGGAACTGCCCTCTCTCRGACACCAGCTGATAGGAGTAGATGATGCTAGTCTGGGGATCAATGAAACAGGGGTTCCTTCTCAGGCCCCTCCCGGGAGCCCATCCCAAGCCGACCTGAGGAGTCCTCCAGCCCCTGCTGAGGTCATGACACACAACAGCCACCCTGCCAATGGGGCCCTGCTCCAGCAAAAGCACCAGATCAACTGGTGTGTCTGTGCTCAGAGGAGTCGTCACACTTGAGCATATGGCAGCTCACACTCAGACCCTGGGATGGGAAGAGAATTCCAACACCTGGGGTGCAGGCGGGGGCCAGAGGGCCTGCTGAGGACCGGGCAGGTAAATGGGACATCTGTTTCGCACCCATCTCCACAGTTTTCTGAGATGCTTGCCAGATCCTTATTTTGAGCKGAAAATGCCTAACGGGAAGGAAAACAGCCCCCCTTCTGTGTTGGCCATGTTTTGGTACAGCAACTGAGATCCCCTTAGGAAATAAATATTTTGAATGAAAAAAAAAATGTATTTTCAAAACCCCCTTTCAACAGGGCGTCATTGGCTCCCTCCTCTTCTTGCTAAGTTTGGATATTTTCTTACTCAGCTTCCCAACGCTCCCTCCACCCTGGTGAGAGTGGAGGAGGATCGGGGGCTGTTTTAGGGGCAACCATTGTCGAAAAGAATAGGGCTCCCCCCCTCTGCAGTCCAGCTGTACAATGGGGCTTGAAAAGACCCCCTCAACAGATAGTGTCAGGGTGAAAGAAAAATTCTATTAACACTTTACAAAATACAACATCTAAGAAAGTGGCTAGAGAGGAAAGAGAAAGGGAAAAAAAAAAATCAATATGGATAAGTCCCAGTGCTTGGGGGAGGGGGAAGAAAACTTTTCAGCGGTTGCAAAACACTTATTAATTCAGAGAAGCCATCAATGCGATGGAAATCTGGCAGAACAGCAAGAGCTGAAACTAGAATTTGAATATACAAAGACTGAATAGAAGGAAAAACACGGCCTCACATATGGGACTGTTTCTCACGGTTCTATGTGAATCAAACAGAAGCAGCTTGTGTGAGTCTCCATCAAGGGGAAGTAAGGGGCATGGCTGAGGTAACCGGTATCAACCCTGCAGCCAGCAAGCCGGTAACCACCTCAGTCTGGCTCTGTCTCATGCACATGCGCGCGCACACACACACATGTGAACCCCAGGTAGATGAGGTGGCTGTGCAGAGTCAACACCAAGTCACAGGCCAGGYCTCATTCAGAGACTGGAATTTCACCAAAGGGCTGAGGGCTGCAAACAGGAGTTTTTCTGACGTGAGTAGAAGATGCCATTAACCTTGTTCAATACTCCTCAAGGGATACCAGCCTCATCCTTAGGACTGACGCTGCCATTACTGTGTCATGTGCTTTATAGATTTCTTCGTACCAGATGTGGAAACCTGCAGGCCTAGTGGTCTTGTGAGTCCCCTGAGGGAGAGAGGACAGGAGGTGTCTGAACCTCAGTTTGCTTTGTCTCAAGCCCTGGCATAGGCCTAGCATGTTTGGGAAGGGGCTTACTCCAACCTTAAGATGCACCTGGTAATAACCAAAGGCAGGTTTATCAAGAGCCCTGTATGGTGTACCTCAGTGGTGTACCCTCAGGAATGAAAATACAAGGTGCAGTGGAATGGGACACTCCCAACCCCTGCTGGGCTTTGTCCTGACAAAAGGTTCTGTATGCATATTTCTGGCTATGGCGAGGTCCAGACTATGCTGTGCTAGGGTCTCCAGGGCCAGAGGGGTTGGGACAGAGGTTGTCAAATTTCATCCACATCAGAGTCACCCCAGGCTTTGCAAAGCTGCCTCTTGGGCACCCCCTAGGAGTGTCTATTTCAGTGGTATCTACATTTCTGACAAGTTCCCAGGTACTGCCGCTGCAGCTGCCGGTCCATGGACCCCTCTTTCCAGTGCACACCTCTGAGGGGTGGGAAACAAGACACCGGTCAGAGGTTGCTTCTTGTAACATATACCAACGTTCAACACATGGACAAAACCTCTCGTTCAGAGGGTCCACTGCAGGGTGGCCGGCAGTAGCTCCCTCTCTGTTATTCCCCTTTTCTGGACATTTACACTGTAACATTCTGAAAGTGGGGGAAAGACAATAAGAAGAGGAATTTCTTAGTGGCAATCAAGCTACCCCTGCACCCAAAGTAGGAAAAATTCAGATTCAGCTTGGATGTTATATAAACTTTCCTTCTAGCTGATAAACTCCTGCTAATGTGTACCTCATGCAGCCAACCCAATCTTGATTAGAAATTCTAGCTAATGGCAACTTTATTTACTTTTATGCAACCTATACTCATTAGGCATTCACTACTTGCAAAGCTTCAGCCTAAATACAAATAAGAGGCAAATTACATAGTCCTATGGTAGACAAGCATCAAAGGCCCCCACAGCCTGTAGGTGATAATTTTGCTGCTCCCTTCCCCAAAGAGGAGGAGTCTATGTCCCCATCCCTTGAAATCTGGACTTGACTTGTGGTGGCCAATGAGGTGGAGAGAATGGTATGCCTGTTGGGGGCCTGGCCTTGAGGAAATCTGCACATTTCTGCTTTTTTCCTCTTGCACCTTTGTCATTATCATGAAAAAGGCATAACCAGGCTGGCTTCCTGGAGGGTGAGAGGCACACAGGGCAGGGTCAAGTCCCCCAGTTGTTCCAGCTGAGGCCAGTCTAAGTCAGCTGACAGCCAATCATCCTGACACATGCCAGTGAGGCTCGCCAAGATCAGCAGAACTGCTCCCAGTGTCCTCCTAACACATGACATGAAGTTATTGACTGCCACCAAGGTTCTACAGTTTGTTACATGGCATTCTTGTGGCAATAGGTAAATTATATGTGTGGTCCCTGTTTGGATTTGTTATTTGTGTGTGTGTGTGTGTGTGTGTGTGTGTGTGTGTGTTGTTTTTTTGTTTGTTTGCTTTTAGTAAGTACTGGGAATTAAACCCAAGGATGCTCTACCACTGAATTATTTCTCCAGTCCTTTTTATTTTAAGACAGCATCTTGCTAAGTGGCCTAAGTTGGCCTTGGACTTGTGATCCCCCTGCCTCAGTTTCCTGAATAGCTAGGATTACAGGCATGACCACCATGCCCAGCTACACGGTCAGTCCCTGTTCTTTAAACAAAAACAAAATATCTCTTCCATTCCGTAGATAAACAGACTGTCTGGAATAATACTAGAGAATATACAAAGCAAAGAAAGAGGCAGAAAGAGAAGAAGTGCTCAATGTGAACCAGATAATAAATAATCAGTATTCTAAATGGAACACATTCCAAATGGAACCTTCCAAATGGGACCCAGGTATTAGGGTGTGGAGTGGACTCCTCTAAATCTTA